GAAAGTCTGCTTGGGAGGCAGACATGCATGGAAGTCTACATTTCCTAGTCTGAGTGGTTATATACAAACTACAATAAAATGCAAAGAAAAGGATCATCGAAATAATAATTAATGTACAGTTGACTTTGTGGGACTGGCATTCATAAACAATCTGGACTTGGTACAGAATGTCTGGGCACATGATCCAGAAATCCATAGTCACCTAGAGCAAGCCTTAGACGACAAACCAGTGACAGACAAGAATAAATTGTTTTACATGTTGCCCACAGGTAAATATGAGCATATCTTCCCGTATAAAGTAAAAACACTGCCAAGCAATGCCGAGAGTCAAAGCAAAGGGGGGGGGGGTCTCAGTCAGACAGAAATCAATCCCCATCATAGAGCTGCTCCTGGAAATGCAAGGGAGATCCAGGGTCCGCACAGGAAGAAAGCAAATTAGTCAATGAGATTTTATCGATCCAGTTGCTGGAGGTACTGGCACAGGATCCTTTTGGAGTAATTTTCTGAGCATCAGTAAATGGTTGACTTTGGGCATGCCTAGCTTGTGCTCAGATCACGGAGAACGAAAGCAGGAGGAGAGAAAAAAAATGAAAAAGCAAGGCTTAACTCTGCCCAAGTTTCTTCGTCTTTCTCTCTTCCTTCCCCATCTGTTTTGACATCAAGACTGGCTTGTTTTGGCAACTATGCAGGAGACAGATAAGGATGGCAGGTATGCGGTTTAGTATTCACTAAGTCTCGGGCTGCCTTGACATCTGCCAATAGCTAAAACACTTTCATTGCAAAGTCTGAATTAGCTGCGATTCACTTTTCCTCCGAGTCAGATTTAGTGACACAGCCCCACTTCACCACCACCAAGAGCTGGGCCATGGGAAAGGCAAGCATATTCCTTTACGGACCCAGGTGACTTCCTGAGTTGTTCTTGTTTTCACTTTTAAAATTCATTTTTATTTATTTTTCCAAAATAAATTTTACAAAAAAGGCTCATTAGAACTATTTTATTGTATTTGCATGTTTTGCTGTTCTTTTCTAAACTGTGTCTCAAGAATTAAATCCTTACAAGCAAAGGGGTAATAGTAAGTTTAGGGTCCAATTCCATGGGTATTATAATAACTCAGCTTGATTGAGAATATTTTTACTTAGGAAATCTTATGCAAAATATCGTCCTTGAATTAAGAAAATAATTTTTTAATTCTGCAAAAGTATATATTTAAATTTAAAAACTACTTTCACACTGCGGAAACTGCTAGTTTATTTCATAGATATGTCGCAGAATCTCACAGGTAATGTCTACTTATTTTCAGAATGGTAGAATAATTAGGTTAATAATGGCATACAATGTAAATTAGATGACCATTTTTAAATATTTTTTTTCCAAGTCAAAATAGCCTTTTGCTAACATTAATTCAGAGAACTGAATTGTAAGCCAATAGTTTTGAAGAGTTCTTTGAGGCAGAACTAAAAACTGCAGGTAAATATAACATTGGAATTAGGTATAGTTCAACTTTTGACTATGAACAGAAATTCAAATTTAGATTATTTTTAAATGAGGTGAATAAAACAAAGGCAAAAAATGAAGTCCTGAGTGTCCATGTGCTGCTGACACGCGCAGAGTCACGCAAAGAACCTCCCCGGGTAGGACTTGCATGAATAGCAAACCCTTCTTTGGGTCCAAATGTGAATGTTGACACTGTGTCCGCTATAGCTTTTCCCTTGACCTCTCCTCCTGGATGTTTATAGCCTAAAAGTTGTTCCCCTGCAGAGGATGCTTCTTCTGAGCTGAGCTAAAGATGTCCTCTTATTCAGTTATGTCTATAATCTGGTGTCCTCGTTTAACTGCATGTAATATAAATGCTGAATTTCTGAACTGCATATAATAAACACACTGGGCTTCCATGTTGCTGTGGATTTTTCCATCAGAGATTCTAGCCCACTAGACCCAGTTTTTCAGTACTACATGTGTCCATGTATCTGTCCTTTCTTGATTCCTATTGCTCCCCCACCAGGTCAGTCCCTCGGCCATGCCAAATACTTGTATGTTCTCTTTTATCAGTACTCTTTTCCTGATAATTGTGATATTGAAGATACCTTCTCTTCCTGTTATCCATCCTTAAACTTAATCCATTTACCTTTATTGCAATAAAACCCAGTGTTTCTTACTTTGTAATTTGAATGTTTATTAAAGCTACCACATGTCCCTAAGCCACAAAATTGGGGTGTATCTTTTTCATTCATTTCGTTTTACATTTCATATATATATCTTTGACACATAAGAACTGATGCAAAAATTGAATATAATTGGTTATACGTCGGCTTTTCTCAATGGTTACTTAATGTGATCTAAAAAATTTCACTTCATAATTTTGAATCGGCATTCAATTGATGACAGATAAGATGAATTTTGTTGTTTATTATACATGAAATCTTAAGGAATAGCTTGGAGTTACTGAATCACTATGTACCATATATATTAAAATTATAATATATGCAATAACATTGCCTGATGTAAATATATAGCATTTGCATAATATATATTTATTTTCAATATATTATTGATACATAAATATTATATAGCATATATCTTACTTGTTTGTATAGGTCAATAATGTCAAACTGCCCACCAAAATCTATTTCCATTGATGATGAAATTTTATTTTCAATAAAGTGTTAGCCATGATTTGGCATCACTTTAGTGACTTTTCTGCTGCTGTAAGGAGAAACCATGATCAAGTCAACTTATAAAAGAAAGCATTTAATTGGGGGTTTGCTTGAAGTTTCAGTAGGTGAGTCCACGACCATCATGGTGGGGAGCATGGCTGCAGACATGCAGGCGTAGCCTGGAAGAAGTTAAGGGCTTACACCTGATCTACAAACAGAAGGCTGGGGGAGCCCGGGATGGGAACTGGCCTACACTTTTGAAACCTCAAAGCTCCCACACCTAGTGACCCATCTCCTACAAACCACACCTCCTCATCATTACCAAACAGTACAGCCAAACATTCGAATATATTAGCCCATGGTGCCTATTTTCATTAAAACCACAACAAAGTTTTTTTTCTCGATATTTTATTTAATATTCATACATGTAAACAATGTTTGGACCAAACTCTCCCCCTCCCTCTCCACAAGTCATTTCCGTATCTGTGACACCATAGTCTCCTCGCGTATGTCCTTTCCCATATTCTTCCTTCATGTGTTCTCTATTTTTGTCAATTTTTAAAATACCCACTGAGTCCACTTCATACCAGTATGCACATAGGTGTGGGACTACATACTGGAGCATGGGGATCATCTTAGGACCTGTATCCCTGAAAAATTTTGACTTTTTCTCCCCCAAAAGTCATCAGCTGCCCACGGCTCATCAACCCCACCTTCACCCATGCTGGGACCTTTTTCTGGCTCCATCTTGTGCATGCCTTGTGCATGCAGCCACAGCTCCTTTGAGTTCATGGGCAGCTATGGTATCAAGTCAGGCTGAAGCTGTTTTGTTAGCTAATATGACATTTTTCACAAATGGATTTTCAATTACTGTATCCCACCACCTATGGTGAGTGAACGTTTTAATTTGATAGCCTTACCTTTTCTTATTTTATAATAACTCATATAACTCATTTAATAATATTTTATACCACTTTTCTCAAAATGGTAATCAAAACTTAATCATAATATCACAATTAATTTTAAGTGTCTTTAACTTTCTCAATTGAACACATTTTTTTGTTTAGTGTGTGAAATCGTATCGCTATGACATATATGTGTGTGCGTTTTTACCTTGCTCACATTCAACCCTGTTATTATCTTATCAAGTAGAATGATAATGGTTCCAAATATTGTGAAGTCATTTGACATCATTTTTGGCCCAAAACAAAATATTTCCACAATCCAGAAAGCATTTAGCAGTTGGTTTTATTCTGAAGGACAGATTTTAAATTATTTTGTGGGGACGAATATACTTGGCTTATAAATATAGCACTAAGTCATTTTTAAATAAAATTCAACATTTTACTTCGGAAAAGGAAAATATCTCCTGTGTGAGTGAAATATTTAGTGGCTGAGGCAACAGAAGGCTGGGAGTATAATGCTATGTTTACAATATGTTGGCTAGAAAGTGAAGAGATAGCCCCTGTCCTTCAATGCTGTTGAGTCTATAAAATAGCATGCCCACTCTCTGGAAATAATTTGTCAGCATATCCAATACATTAAGTATGGAGTGTTCGTTGAAAATCTGAAGGGCGCTATCTCCAGCAGCACAAATATTAAAAATTGGAATGATCGAATCAAATGATTAACAAGGCCACTAAACAAGAATGGCAGGGATGGATGAAGTGTTCCAATGTCTAGGGATCAGAGGGCAGAGAGGTTGTCCAGTGGGTTAAGTGCCCCTGTGCAGATATGAAGACCTGAGTTCCAATCGCTGGCACCTGCCTAAAAAAGGCAGATGCAGTGGCATATGTGTGTAACCATGGTGCTGAAGACGTGGAAACAGGTGGATGCCCTGAGCTTGCTGACCAGTCAGTCCATCCATCAGGGAGTGCTGGGTTCAGTGAGAGACCCTAACTCAAAAACATCTGTGACAAGGGATAAAGGAAGACACACAACAACATTCTCTGACCTCTAAAGTCACATGCATATATGTATACACACACACACACACTATACACAGATTCACACAATGCACCCTGATTCACACGCACAGAAAACAGCTGAGGGATACACAGGATAGTGTATACTACTTCCAAGGAGGAAATCTGTACAAGTAGAAAAAGAACATCTCCGGGTTCAAGAGAGTCTAGCCATTAAGAGCGTCTGTTGCCCAATCATAAGGCTAGAGTTCAGACACAACTACCCACATAACAGCTGGGGAAGTCTGCAATTGCCTGTCCTTCCACCTGCATGGGAAAGAAAGACACCTCTGCTGCTATCTGCACACACACACACACACGCATGTGCATGCAGCCCCATGCAGTGCTTACCCATAGACAAGGCAGAAATGAATGGCAGAACTCTATTTTTAAAAGAAAACGATTGCAATTGTTAACAGAAAAAGTTTGTCTTGGGATGATTCTGGACATTTTGCTCGCTTCTGCGCCCCCTCATCACAAGGACACTTGCGTCCTCTGTACTTTCATCCTCATTTGTTGTCATTAATTCTCGTAAGTTGATGGCTCCCCATCTTGCATTTATTTTTATGCTTCCTCCTCTTTTCAATAAAATCAGATTTGAAATCTATATTCATGACGGTTTTTTTTGTTTATTAATCTACCCTTACAAAAATCACTTTTGATGTACCAATTATATTCTTTAACTGAAGTTAGCTACACGTGTTTGAAATCCTCTTCAAGACTGGCCTTGGTGAGGATTTCTTGCCTGTCTCTTCCTTCTGTACTTTGTATTATCTTCTCTTAGCTCCTGTGGCTGTCGTCTTGATTCTCTTCACTTTCATTAGGATACGTTTGAAACCTTTTCCCACAAAGGTTTCAGGATGGTATACATCCTGAGAGCCGGTAGCACTGGGAACATCTTCTCCTTCTGTGTCTGAGTGAGTCATAGTTTCTCTTCCTTGGGAATGCTTGGCTCCCTGCTCTCCATCCAGCTGTAGACAGATGTCGCTTCCCTGTTGAAACGGTTTAACGAAGTTCACGGCTCCTTTCTTCACCGTGTAAGCGGTAGTGTTAAAAGCATTTTATTTTTCTTCTCATCCAAAATTATTAGCAGAATAGCATTAAGCGTAATCCTCTTTCTCCTATAGTTTACATTATAAATGTCCTTCATATGTTCATGTGTGGGAGGCTTAGTCTTCAACCCTTAGTGCTATTGGGAAGCAGGGGATCCTATACTACAGAGGGTCTAAGCAAAGCTTTTTTGGAAGCCTGTTTTTACTGGGGAAATTGGGACAGGACACAGATACCTTCGCCTCTCTCTCTCTCTCTCTCTCTCTCTCTCTCTCTCTCTCTCTCTCTCTCTCCACTTTAAGGTGCCACCTCAACCATCTTTCCCCACGTATGCACACCATGAACTCTGCTGCCCCACACTGAGGCCAGCAACCACAAATGACAAGAAACCTCTCCCTTTCAGGTGACTCTCTCAGGTGAAAGCATCTCTCTCTAAAACATTTCCCTTCAGAAGTTTCTCTCCAAGTACTCATCTAGATGGGGTTTTCTAGAGATATTTTTATTTTTACTTCCCGTGTATGAGTGCATTGCATTGCCTACATTTGTGCATATGTGTGGCGGGTACTGCTAAGATACCTCTCTTGCCTCAACTTGTTGAGGTTTATTTTACTTACTAACAGAGAAATTCTCCTTGGCAGCCATGAGGGAAGGTACCGCCACCTCCTGCGGTGGCCTCTGTGGTACTGCAGAAACGAGCCATCTCCAGTATCCCCACACAGTGGGACTTCGAGGGAGTCTAGCAGAGAGAGACGAAGACCCCTTCAGCTTTTGAGGACTTGGCAGGCATCTACACTTTCGGTGAGCAGGAGGCTTCCCAGAGGCCTGGGAAACACAAAGAGGCTAGGGACAGAGCTGGCCAGAAGGAGCCTTCTGCTGCAGAGCCGTTCTCGCCCAGTGCAACCGAGCCAGCACGGAAGACCAAGATGCCAGTTCTGGCTCATCAGAGGTGTCAAATGTAGCTCCTGTACCTGCCCAGGCATTGACTACGGCATCTTAAGGAACAGAAACCTAGTTCAGAAAGTGCACTTTGATCCCCAAGATGACTCAAGTGGTAAAAGTGTTTAACACACAAATCTGATGCCCTGGGACCCGAGAGTGGAAGTGATTTTGGGCGATTCGGTGTTGTTGTATTTAATAAATAAAAAGGCAAGGTGTCCTTAAAAATTCAGGTTAGCAACAAATAAGAGATAAGTTTGTGTGTGTACCTCTGTGTATATGTGCGCATGTGTGTAAGTGTGTACCGAACAGGGCAAATCTAGGTTCACTTATGGCAAAATAACATTCTGATATCAGTCTCAGAAGTGCTCGTCATCACGTTACTGGGGAAAAAAATCAAAGGCACACAGCATAGGAATGGGGCAGGTACTGTCTTCACCAGCATTGTGTGTGTCTACAGTGGAGAATAAGAGGACTTTATTGCAAGCTCAGAGATTTAGGAGTCTATGGATATAGGTGGCTAAGGTCCTTGGACAGCAGACAAGGCATTCGGGAGCTTCGGATAAGAACTTTGGACCACAGTGGTAAGTAAAACTGAGAACAGAGCTTGGGGATTATGTAACCAAGCCATATGTGATCCAACCTTCCACATACGCCAACAAATATTTCTTCTACCGTACACATGTGATCAGTTCTTCTGAGATGATTTGACCTGAAGTGTTTGTAATATCTCCATTCAGAGTCCCGTGTTTTAAAATAGTTCCACAGTTGAAACTCCCACCCTAAGTTTTAGGTCTCCTCCGCCAACTAGCAAAATGTGATATCTGTCTAATGCTATTTTAAAACAGTGTGGATTACAAATACTGATTTCCTTTTTCTCGCTAAAGTAACATGTAAAAGAGCAGTGTTATTTATATGGAAAAGGCTTAGGGGTTCTTTACTGGCTGGTGTGACCTTGGCAATCCCACACTGACCAGTGTGGACTGGGTGGTTCCATGTACTGGCCAGAGAGTGAGCTAACTCATAAGCAGAACCCTGCCAGCCCTTGAAAAGTAGGCTAGGCATCTCTTTCCAGCTGTCAACATCTGTGACCTGAAAGGAGTTCATACTTATTGGTCTATAGCTTTTGTCTCCCCAAACATAGTCAATTATTTAAAATAAAAATGGCCAGGCAATATTTCCCTCCCCAAATCTATTTGGCAAAATAATTCTAAACTTCATATGTATGGGGGGCAGTGTCTCCTCTTTTCTGGTAGCTTTCATTGTTGATATTCATTTCTCCTTTTTTTCTAAATCTCAACATTGATGTTACAGCAAAGAAAAATATTTATCCTCCAAGTGTGCACACCAAGCAATTGAAAAAAAATACAAGCTTTAAAAGTCTGCGAATTTGATATTATATTGAACTCTTCATGAAACTGGATTGTTTATACATTTTAATCAGTGAACTTGTACTGAAATCTCACAACTGAGTAAACCTGGCACTATGTAAGGATGGGGCGAGGTTACACTCCGCTGTCTGCAGTTTGAGACATTCGTGGGAATAGATTTGAAGGGTAAAGGGGGGTGCTGTGGAAATGTCACTATGGGACCCACCAGCAACAGTGACCTCGGGCACCCCTACTCCCTTAGAATCACTTCTTTTAAAGGTAACTGCAGCTCAGCCAGCTTTGCTGAGAAAAGGAACAACGGCTTCCCTATGTCTATGAGCATCCCCGGAGCCAACCATTTGTAGAGGGCACTCCACAGGTGCTGAGGAAATAATGTCCCAGAAAATGAATAAGGAATAAATATCCTCAGATTAATGCTCTATAAATACATTTGCTATAGGTTTCATCAAATATTCATGGTATATACATGTATGGGTCAAATTACCTTTAAATATTAAATTTCCTTCTCATAGGGGAGAATTTCAGATTATTTTCAGTGTTTAGGAGGAGCAGAGAAGAAATTCCTCAGTTAGCTGATGGGAGATTCTGCTTCGGGGCCAACGCTTCTGTGAGGAAAGAGGGGTCGTCACTCTTGGAAATGGGAAGAGGCCCCACACTTCTTACCAGTGTTCTCCAAGGTGCATTGGATCTTAAAGACATAAACAATACACCTGTGCTTCAAAGAAGAAATGGAGGGTGTGGCAGCCCCCGGATAGCATGCCCAAGACACACGACACTGATCTTCTTCATACACAGCTCAATGGATAAAAGAAAGGTTTAGTGAGACACAGACAGGCATGCCTGTTCCCAGGTTACAGCAGGTGCTGGGTGGAAACCTTGGTCAACGGGGGCCTGTGACTCAGGTTTGTCACAGAGAACACCAGGGACTAGCGCTTTTGAAGCGCTGCCCAAATGAATGATTGGCCAACAGTCCCTCACGTGTGACCATGGGAAACTGCTGTGAGTTCAAGGCCGGGTTTGGATCCCGGTTTGCTTCTTATTATTGGGGTCGGCTTGAGAAACTGGCATTTCTTGGATCTTTATTCCTCAAGGTAAAGCTGGCGCAATCAATGGGTCCTTACTGCTCACCTCACAGTAACGTCAGAAATTCAGTGAAGATTCTCTAGGGTGGCACTGAGAACACAGCTCTGTCAGTCAAAACCTTGCCATAAAACACATGGGAAAGAGTTATCTCCAGAACCAACATAAAAATCAGAACACGTGGGAATCCAGGGTTGTTCAGATGGAAGGCAGAGACAGGCTTCCTGCGAGCTCCCTAATCAGCTAATCTAGCCCACCTGGTGAAGTTACAGACCAAGAAGAAAAGCCGACTCCCACGGAGAATGGCAGGTGCTTGAGGAATGCCACTCTAGGTTGTAGTTTGACCACTTGTGCATATAAACCCATCCCCACACATGCCTGGCCAAGATTCTATATAAGCCTTTAGTACTTCAAATACTAAGTCAAAAAAAAAAAAAAAAAAAAAAAACAAAAAAAAAACAAAAAAAAAAACCCATCAACTTGATGACTGTCCCATGCCTCTGAGAACCTCATCCACTCACAACCTCAGTGTTGCTGTCTGTGATACCCACAACACTTCTCAAAGCTCCCTTCTTCAAACTGCCTGAGACTTGGATGCTTTTTTAAAATAGAGTTTACAGTGTTAAGGAGCCTGTGGGAGACCTAGTCTAGCTGACTTGGTGAAGTTCCACGCCAATGAGAGGAAAGCAAAAAAAGAGAGGAAGATGCCTGAGGAGCGATGATCTGGTTTGTCTTTTGACCTCTTGATGACTACACAGCCAAGAAGGCAGCGAGCAGACTGAAGTTCTACTTCAGACAAACGATTTAACACTGAAACTGAATCCCGGTTTGAGGGGTGAAATAATTGTGATGGGATTGGAGGAGCAATCCAGGACCGCCCCACATGGAGAAAGAGAAGTAATCATTTGTATTACTTCCCTGGACAGAACTGCACAGCCTAATCCCCCATGCATAAATACACTTTAGGAATCTATTATAATTTGCAACAAAATTCAAGCTAATTGTTTTATATGCTAAAAATTATATTTTGATAAATTTAAGCTATGCCAGTTTCTAAATAAGATTTTGCAAATTTCCTATACCACAGAGTTTATAAACCTGATTCATAATTCATATTTTTGATATGACAGCCACATGAAAATATTAGAAACAGTCCTGAGATTGCTTCACGTCTCTAGGCTTGATCACGTGTCAGGTTCTGCTTGCATGTCCAACTGGACCTTTTTCTCATTGTCACCTAAAAGTCATTGAGCACTCTCTGTGCTGGGAACACTAAGGGACTGACTGTCTCCGATTACACTGTTTTGGGTGTTAGAATTGTCTGAGGTGTCGTGTAAAGTTGAATAGAGATATAAGCAGGATTGAGAGCCAGAATCCCAGTGTGGTGGCCCTCCCAGGGCCTCTGTTGCCTGTGATTTCTCCTAATCCCCAGGGTAGGGTGCACAAGCAGCAATGTCAAAGAGAACTCCAGAAGGCAGCCAGCCAGGCACCTGAGCCTCTGCTGGCGGCAAGGAGAGGCTTGGGCAAATGGCTTCTGGGGAAGATGAGGTGACAAGGACACATGCTGGGTCCCCATCTGACACTTACCTACAGCACCATCTGTAACTACGACATGGAGCCTAGAAGTCTCAAGGCCTCTGGGGAGGTGGAGACCCTCTCTGAATCCCCATAAACCCTGAGTTAATAAATGGCTGCTCACACTGGTTCAGGAAATCATGCCCAGGTACTGAAACCCTTTGAGAGCCCTCTGGCAGGCCCTGGTCCCTGATGCCAGTTTTGTAGCCTGGCAAACAGGCGCTTCCTTCCACCTGGTTGACTTAATTCACATATACACACATGCATGTACACACACACACACACACAGTCACACATAGTCCCACGCTCATTCACACTCACACTTAAGCACACTTACACAGTCCATGTGATAGCCCTACAGCTTTAAATCTCATTTTTTCACAATATTTTAAGTCCTTTCTCCTCCATAGAGTCCACCTTCAGGGGGATAAAACACTAACAAAGAATCGTGAAAAATTATGATTATCACCACCAGGAACAACCAATTAGTGTTTCGAAAGGGAAGGTGTGAATCATGGAAGAACCTGTATTTGTTTGAGCTGCTGTATTTGAGGGCCTTGTTACAAGTGCTCAACCTTCATCCCATCAATATCCTTGTCCGATCCATGTGTCTTTGTTTCATCTTTGAAATGGGGCATTTGTGTAAGGAGAAGTTAAAATGCAAGGGTCATAGGCGTTTTACATAATATTAATGTTAAACAAAATAGTCCAGACTTAAATATTACTTATGGCAAACCTACATTTGCATGTTGTGCTTAAAAATATGCATTTAACAATTAAAAATCTTCCAATTATGATTCAATTGTGTTGTCTAAAACGTGCAGAGAAAATAGGCCTGGATTCAATGACTATCAAATTTCTTACAACCATAAAGTTAGGATATTTGATTCTCTGTTCTTTTTTTCTTAACCAGTTTTTTTGTTTTTATTATGGTGTGTGTGTGTGTGTGTGTGTGTGTGTGTGTGTGTGTGTGTGCATGCACACCCATATGTGGAGTTCAGAGGAAAACTTGCAGGAGTCAGTTTTCTCCACCATATGGGTCCCAGGAATTGAACTCTGGTCTTCAGGCTTGGCAGCAAGCACCATGACCCACTGAATCATCTTGCCAGTTGAAGTGAGGATAGAATTTAACAAGTGGAATACTGTTAAATAAAATCCAAGTTCTACCATATTTGGAAAGGCTTGTGGGTATCTTCAACTAACTGGAGCATCAGCATCAGCAGCAGTGGGTGACAGGGGCATGAGGGACGAAGGTCCTAGAAAAGCCCAATGTGCCCTTGTCTGCAAATAAATTACTAACCGAAAATTTTAGCAGAAGTCTATGATAAAATTTTTATCTTTTCTGAGACCAAATTATTTTTCCTCCTAGACTTTAACCTTCGTGGGTACAGAATCTCTGTAAGATTCGTCACTGTGTCTACGAAGCCACACAGTTCTTTGCACAGCAAGGGTTTTAGAATATGACTAGTCACTTAGATTATACAATATTCCAGCTGTCCTTTTATTTATTGGAAATAAAGTGCATTTTCCTGGTCTTTATAGTTATTAGTCGCTTTTCTGAGTTGCAACCATTGTTTTCAATGCAAATTATAGAAGGAAGAGTTGAGAAAAGTGTATTTGGATGTCGTGACTTTTTAAGGTGTCCAAGACACAATTTTTCACTCCAGATTCCAGGGTGTGCATGTGGTGTGTGTGTGTGTGTGTGTGTGTGTGTGTGTGTGTGTGTGTGAGAAAGAGAGAGAGAAAGAGAGAGAGAACAGTGTTATAGATTTGATGAATGAATGAATGAAGCATCTCTCAGACAACCTGCTAGCTTCTCTGTGAAGCCATCGTAAAACAGCAATGGAATCACATTACCAAGCAGAGAGTTTACAGACCATTGGGGCCGACTTTTTTTGTTTACCTGTTCTTAATTATTTTCAGATAAGAATGAGACATGAAAAACCAGCACAAAGCTGCAATAATGAAGATACCTTGAGGCCAGAGAGATGGCTCAGTGGTTAAGAGTACGAACTGCTCTTCCAGAGGACTGGGGTTCAATTCCCAGCACCCACATGCCAGCTCCCAATCACCTGTCACTAACAATTCCCTGGGATCCTGTGCTCTCTTCTGGTCTCCTTGGACACAGAACATGCATTTGGTGCACAGAAATCCATGCAGGCAGAACACCCATACACATGAAATAAAAATAAAGGAAAACTAAAATTAAAAAAAAAAAAAGATGCCCACCACCAAAAATAATCATCAGAAACTGGGTAGCATTTATGCTCTTGCACTCAAGGGAGCAGAAGTGTTTGCTGAGCCAAAGGATTCAACAAGTGCTGAACTAGGCCAGTCCAAGTGGTTCCTTGCTGGTGATGGCCTTTGTCATAAGACCGGATTTTACTTCAGAAGTATTGCATGCCATCTGGCCCCAAAGAGCAAATCTATTTTTATAATATCAAATTTGCAACAAGGGAAAGCCACACACATGCTCGGTGTTGGATGAACTTCCATTTTTCACACGATCGGCTTTCACTCTTCTTCCTGGGGCCCCCCATGCTGGGTGGGCTCTTTCCCTCCGCTGCAGGCCTTATCTCTGCTGAGTTGTAGGATTAGGATCCCAAAGTCACTGAACAAACAGTGTCTGATTCTCCACAGCAGACCTTTTGTTCGTATACATTTCCCTGGCTCTTGTTCGAGGAGGCCGAGGATGCCTATCAACTCCACACTAATAATATCCTTCAGTAAATGATAAAGTCAAGTCCAATGTAAACCGAGAAGCTTTATCGGCGCGTCCAAGCTATCCCCTTACAGCTCTGTACCGGCCAACTGAGCATCCTTTTCCTAGACAAAAGACCCCATGCACAAGAAAGAGCACTTACCAGAGTGGGTGTTTGTTTGTCAAAGGAGAGCTGCTTGCCCCCTGATTCAAGTCGCCTTGGTTGTCACTGTCGTCGGAAGGAAAGAGGTGTACTTTACAGCAAGACTCCTTCCTCAATGAGCTCCTGAACTGAGCCAGAGGAGATCCGGGGCTTCCTGTCAACCTGTTCTTTCTCTTTCTCCATGTTAATATCGGCCGATGGACTCCTCAGAGGCAAAGTATGCTCCTGACTGTGCACAGAGAGGACTCCGCGGTTTACCAGTTACTCTTCCACCCTGTTGTCAGAGAAGATGAGTCAAAAGGGATTTACGCACTAGGTTCATTCCACCAGATGGCCCTTCTTCTCCTGTATCCCGAGAGGAGTTCAAAATCAATTCATGTTCCTCTACAGTTCTAAATTAGGCAAATGGCCGTGCCCATCTCGATCGCTGAGAAGCCAGTTTAATAAAGCGAGCCTGCGCAAAAGTAGAACCATTTCGAAAAGATGTTTCAAATTTCTGTGCCTTTTCGACATCGAATGGTACTTGCCTATAGAACAGGAAAAAGACATTTTCCTGTCTTTTTACCTTCTATGTGCATGGGACTGATCACTGCAGGCCCAGGAAAGGTTATTCCATGCATGCATATATGTTTGTGTGGCCTCTGCAAAAGATTATGTAAGTGTGCAGAATGTATGTGCTGTGTATGCATCATACGATTCGCACAGACCCAAATAGTTTGCGGTCTTATGTAAACATTAATGGGAATAGGGGGAGTCAGTCGATGCTGGTGAACAGCAATATGCTCAGGTTTCCTGGCACGTTTGTTGTTGCTAGGTGTTTTTTGAGTTTGTTTTTATTTTTGTTTGTGATACTCAGGGGATGTGTGAGGAATATCCATCCTTTTGACATGAAATCCCATCTAAAAACCCTGTCAAGACTGGACAGGGAACGAAGTATATTTCACAGTGTGGCTGTGTTGGTTTCCTTCCAAGCATAGCATGCTACTGGCTGGTCTATCAGTACCTTCAGACCTGAAGAAAAGCCAAGTGTTAGAGACCTCACTCATTGCTACCTATAGGCTGTTGAGGGAAGGGCCAAGTGACAGCTGCAAGACTCGGGGTTTCAACAGGAAGAGATATTAGAAAGCTCTCAAGTTTCCATTCACATTTATTCAAGTTGTGTGTGTATGGATATTGTATGCATGTGTGTATGTATGCGTGTGTACCTGTGGATACTCATGGGGTCCATGTGTTCTTTGGTTGTGGAGGCCAGAGGACAACCTCACTTGTCATTCCCCAGGTTCTATCTACCTTCTTTTTAAAGACAGGGTGCTTTATTGAACCCAGAGCTTCCTAAGTAGGCTGTATCTCCCAAGCCCTAAAGATCCTATTGAGATTACAGCACACACCACACCTGCCTTTCTTTTGCATGAGTTCTTCAGATGGAGCTCAGGTTCTGGTCTTTTTTTTTCTAAATGGGATATGATGAACAAGGACCAGCATGATAGCTAAAAAGAAATTTCATCCTAAGGAATGCATGATTCTGAGGACTGGATATATAGGTGCTGGTAGGCAAGCACGTGATAGTTCAGGGTAGACAGGTCTGGGAGAGGTGTTTAAACCCACCTAAGTGTTCTAAATGGTCACTAGGAGTTTCCCAGGGAGAGGGAAGAAACTGCATCATAGTTTAAGACAGGGGGGTGGGCACCAGGAAACGGCAGCAGCACAAACAACATGCCAGGTGTTGCCAAAACTCCGCGAAGATGCCTGTGTGTCTAGAAGTTCACCTTCATCACTGCTCCAAGCAGCAGTGTAGGGGCAGAGAGCCACTATGACAGGCATTATCTGTGAAGCAGACCCAGGCAAGCTTTGACATTTGAGTTGGTGCGATAGTCAAGCTTGCTTCACGGTAAAAGTTAATCAAGAAGTTAGCGATTGTCTACTGGAGCCCTTCATGGTTTAGTCAGAAACTTGACCAGCAAGTGAGAAAAAAAAAAAAAAAAAAAAGCAGGCGGAGAGAGGCAAAGGTAATAAGTGAACCTATGTGATCATGGTCCAAGCTCCAGCCCTCTGCTGTCAATCATTAATTTCTATTAATGAAAACCCAATGAAACTCCCAGTCAGCCAGAATTTGGTTCTCTTAAATAGGAGAGAGCAATGGGAAGGTACATTATTTGATGTTGTAATTAAGATATTTGAGGTGTCTGTCCAGCTCATGCTTCTCTCTTCGTCAGGAACATCCTCTATAGAAATTGCTAGTTACCTAAGTTCATTTGCTTTTACAGAGTTGGCCCGTGTGTGCCAAGAAGATGTTATCCTTCAAGCACTGTTAAGAGCTGGGTGTATATTATGGTTAAAGTTAACTGCCATAGATTAGATTTCCCCTAAGTCTGTGGCCTGATGAGAACTGTCATGACCTCCTGGAGTGATGAGGAAGACTGTACCAATTGTAGGCAGAAGCTACTGGTAGCAATCTGGATAAAATGGGTGTGTCAGGAGGAAGGGCATCTTGCCTGTTGGTCGCTTGACCTTCCCTCTTGCTATCGGGTTGATTTGCTCTATTGTTGTTTCTACTAATGATTGTGATGATGGTGGTGATGGTGATGATAATGATAATTTTGACTCTGATATCAGAGTCAGTGTTTTCAAGATTTTATTGAAGACTTGGGACCAGTGGCTCTCCAAGAACTCTCTGGGCTTCCAGTGTCAAATTAGGACTGCTGAAGCACCCACCCTCAGGATTCATCGACGATCAGGTTCTCGGTTTTCATGTGTGATTCTGTTGTTCTACATTAAAGCTGACTTGATAAATTGTGTGAATGTGTGTGTGTGTGTGTACTCGTTGCTTTTTCCTCTCAGTTCATTAGTTCCGTTCCTCTAGAGAATCCTGATTAATACAAGATACAAAGATATATAAACCCAGTACTGATCTTGAGAATCTTGCAGACTAAGAATATGGGCCACAGCTCAAGTAAGTATTAAGGCAGACATGGGAGGTGGGAAGGAGAGGTTCGGGGAAGTTGTGGGAAGGCATTTGTAGGGATTATCTGACTGGAAAGGCCTCTAGGAAACTAGACCATGAGTGCTGTGCTCACGGGCAGTCAGTCCAAACTTGGCTTCAGCAAATCAGTGCTATGTAGGAACTCTGGGCAGTTGTAGCAGGCACTCGGAAGTTTTAAGAAAGTGGGAAATTTATATCTTGGGAAAGACTGCAAACTATTAGAAGCTGACTCAACTTGTCATCCATATCTTCCTAGACATGTCCTGTCCCAGATGATCTGTACATTGTCAATCTCTCTAACTTGATCCTATCAGACTAATGCTAACTGGAACTAGGGCACTTATCAAGTCAATAAAGATGTATTTCTTCATCATCAACAGTCACACGAAGAAGGCTCTTCAGTGGCCATGTGTGACTTTTACAATGCATTCCCTTAGCCATGACCAACAGACCAGTTGGATCCTTTTTTGCATTGACTTCTTCACTTCAGCAGAAAGCTCTGGTCTCTCAAGAGAAAAGGCACAGAACCAAATGTTCTCTGAGGTCCCAAAATTCACATATTCACACTCTCTACAGCCATATGACTCAATCTCTCCAGCACAATCTCAGCATCTTTCCAATGAATAGCTTTTTTTTCTTTTTCTTTTTTTTTTCTCTTTTGGCTAAGCTAGCTCAAGTTATTTTCTACTGCCTGCAAATCAAAGAACCCACTAATATAGTTCATTTTATTTTTATATTTTATTATTCTGAATTACTATAAATCTTCTTGGTGATTTTTCTCCTTGATGGATAATGACAGTTTCCCAAGGGAAATGTTCTATTTATTTTCAGAGTAATAGTACAAGAGACTAGCAACCATCAATTCAGAATTTTGGTCTTAAGTTCCCCAAGGACAAACTGCATCTTGTATGGTTTGGGAGTGTTGCACTTGTATAATCCTCAGAATAGTAACTAACTTAAAGAGATATTTTCATCACTCAAAGGTCCAAGTGTATACGTGTGTGTGTGTGTTTCTTCTCTTTTTATTCATTTGATTTTTTGATCTCCAGTGTTTTGTGTGAACTAGCCTGAGCCATAGGAACATGAGAGGACTGGACCTTCTTCTTTCCTTTTGGCTGTTACATATGACACAGACTTGTGACCCCAGCAGGGGGCCAAAGTAGAAAGCTACTTGAATCCCATTGAGGGGAGCATCAACCCTTTCCAAGACTGATCAATTGGCATACTCAGGGAGTAGAGTACTCTCTATAAGAACAGACACAAGCTTCCAATTTCATGATAGTTTGCTTCCAAGCTTTTAGGACTACCTTGTGATTGTCCATTGCCAGATTTCCATAATCCACAATGAATTTGTTAGTTATAATGAAAAAAGAAGTCTACAATGTCTTTACCTTCTTGTACTGTTGGCACCCCAACAGAACCCACTCCCATCTTTTGCAGCTGTTCCAAATCTGGGGACTGATGGCATCACACAGGTGCCTTCCTGCAGGTCTCCCTGGCCCTCAGTTTTTTTTTTTTTTTTCAGGCACTGCAAGTTACCTGTCTTTAATTCTGATCATAAACATATGGCTGGAAATGAACTCCAAACATTTTGTCACTGGAGTCACAAGAAGAGTTTTAATGACAGACAGCAAATCGGTTGCTGCAATCACTGATCAGTATGATCAGTTTGGGTTAAGCCTTCCAGCTACATTGGTGACAACAGACATGTCCATACACAGACACCAGAAAAACCTCACTGGTAATGTCACCTTTCCCATAGGGAATCTTACCTTCCCCGTTAAGTACCCTTCATGCCTGTTAAACCTGCCTTACATAGCTATACAGACACTGCCATTTTGGAACCCAAATGCCAGTCAAGTGACATGAGCTAATAGGCAGTGTTCCGGTGATCTTCATATATGAATCTGTTATCCGTTGTCTCACCTGTGTCCCCATAAGGGCCCTGCCCTGAAGATCTGCTCAGTTGGGTTGAATAATTTTTCTGTGTCTGTTTCATATTGTCCAAAGACTATCTTGGGTTTTGTTTGTTTGCTTGCTTATAAAAACACTACCAATTAGTAACCTAGAGTAAGGAAAATTTTAAGAAGAAAATATTTTATAACTAGTGCTATTACACTGAAGAGGTGCCTTAGAAATGAAGAACCTAAGAAAGATGGGTAGTAAGAAAAGAAGGGAAGGAACAGAAGAGAAGAAAGAAGAGGGAAATTGGAAATAGGTAGGTAGGGATGGGAAAGGGAGGGACAGAAGAAAGAGAGAAAGAAAGAAAGAAAGAAAGAAAGAAAGAAAGAAAG